AAAGACCAGTAACACTTCATTTATTTGCTCAAATTTAGTTACTATATGCTGAGTCCCAGTAAGGACACAAATAATAGTGCGCTTTCTGCTCAGTCATTCCAGAAGCTGAATGGGGAATATTAGGGGACATGTGGCTGATCCTGAGTAATAACCTTATGAATAATGAAAAATATGTCTTACTGTCTGTGGTGCTACCTATTAAATACATGGACATTGAGCTAAGCAGTCTACAAAGCCAAGTCTAAAGAACCTGCCTTACTCCAAAGGGGATCTAAAATTTAGAGGGTTTTTGTAATCATTAAAGTAATATGAAATTGCATCTGTTTTAATAATTTAAAAAAGATTTGCTATTTACTTTGAAATACTTAATATTTAATCATATTTAAGTAAGATTTTGTGATGATCCATTGCTTGTACAAATAAAGCCTGTCTGAGGGTCAGAGCTGGCCACTAGCTAACCATAAAGGTCTGGAGGTCTGTACAGACAGACAGGAAGTGAGGTAGCTGGGCAGAAACAGATATAAGCAGGGAAACAAGATAAAGCTCTTGTCTGTTGAGATGCTAAAGAGGTAAGGTGTGCTGTGACTTGCTTCTTCTCTCTTATCTCTCAGCATTTTCCTCTATATCTAACTCTGGGTTTTTATTACTTAGATTGATTAAGAACTCCATTTATAACATTTTAGTAAATGTATATATTTTATATTTGCTACAGTATTTCACTGATTTAAAAGTATGTGTAACCAACAAAAAAAGAAAAACGAAATTGCATCTGGTTCTTGTGAAGATGTCTATAATCCCAGCACTCAGGAGCCTGAAATAGAAGGATGAGTTCCAGACCAGCATGGGCCACATAGTGAGACACTATCTAAAATAAAGAATTTTTTAAATGTATACTTGAAGGGACACTAGCCCACTTTAGATAAGGCTCTTGCAGGCCTTGCCCCTCTTCCTAATTTATTCTACCTTGCAAAAAGAAAAAGAAAACTACTAGTTCCATTCCTAAAGCTAGCATAATTGGCCACTTCCTCCTCCTGAGACTGACTACCAAAGTTGAACAGCCAGAAGCCCCCTTTGGTTCACCTAAATAGCATATCCAATTAAAATTAAACACCTCACCTTAACACGGGGTTTCCCATTTTACCTTTATAAACCACCATTTGCTGTGTGCCATGTCCGTCTACCCTCCATCCAGAAACAGTCCTTTGTTCCTCAGGGACAGACACCTCTGCCCCTTTCCCTTGTCCCCTGTCTCCTTTACCACTGCATCCCAGACCATTCTGATACAGACTTCCCCTTTATACCTGCAAGATCATTTGCTGCTGTTTTCTGCCTGAATCAGAAACCAGCCACTTTAACTTTTCTTCTCTGATTAATAAAGGGTCTCTCTGTGAAAACAGGTGTGGTTTGTGACTAATCCAGAGGCCAGAAGGAAGCCCCCATTGTATAGGACTCCCATTCAGTCCTGATTGGGTTTTTTGTATGGTTGGTTTTGGTTTTGCTTTGTCAAGGTGGCACAAACTAGAGTCAATTGGAAGGAGGAACCTTAACTGAGAAGATACCTCCACCATATTGGCCTGTAAGCAAGTATGGGGGGAGGGGAGTCATTTTCCTGAGTAATGATTGGTGTGGAAGGGCTCAGTCCACGGTAAGAGGTATCACCCCTGGGCAGATAGTCCTGGGAGATATAAGAAAGGTAGTTGAACAGGAGCATGAAGAGCAAGCCAGTAGGCAGTGCTCCTCCATGGCCTTTGCTTCAGTCCCTGTCTCAAACTCCTGCCCTCACTTCCCATCACAACAAACCATAAACTGTAGGCTGAAATCATCCTTTCACTCCCCAAATCGCTTTAGGTCATGGTGTTTTATCCCAACAACAGAAAGAAAACCAGGACAAAAAGAAAAAACAATTATTGTAACAAGCATTAGAATATTTAAGTCTTATATAGTTATGGAAACATGTGGTAAGCTCTCCCCTCCAGCCACTGCCCACATATAAAGCACACACACTGAAATTCTATACCTTTAGATGTCAGGTAAACATACTGTGCCCGATGGTATAGCTGCATCCCAGGTGTAGACCAGGTTATAGACCTGGCTGGTCTCGAACTCACAGACATCTGCCTGCCTCTGCCTCCCATTAAAGGTGTGTACCATCACTGCCTGGCAAGTCTTAGGGTTTAACAACCAAGCTTTCTCTCCTAAGAGAGGTTTTGCTTGATGCCTTGTTTGAAACAACCTTCTCACCACTCCCCAGTCCTTGTCCTAATTGCTCTTCTCATTCAGCATGACATGTTATCTGTTCATCTTGTTTGCTGCCCCATCAGAGTCTCAAGTTTTCTGAAGGCAAGATGGTAAGAGGTCATATTTTAAAAATTCAGACACATTTTAAAAATGTAGCCTATTTCCAGGGAATCAAATATTGCAGAATCCCTAATGTCTAAAGGGTAATATAATACATATGTGATATAATGCTTATACTAGGGAATTTGTGCATTATGAAAAATATAAGCCTTTCCTTGGAATTTTAGACTATCCTTGTGGGCTGGGGTTACAAAAACATACTTATCTTCCTTTATTGTTCAGCTCATAATCTCTTGAAGAATGCCTCAAAAAGACTCTCTTGGAGATTGCTTTCAAAGAGAGAGATCAAGGATAGAGGATCAAACTGTCACTTGAAGGACTCTTAGCCCTGCTTTTTCAAAACCAATCCACAGCTGGGTGAAGGCTGCCAGCCAGACTTTCCACATCCTTTAAGTGAATTGAGGTTTCTCTGTGCTAAATGTAAAGAGATAGAAGTGGGAGATGAAGCTCTTGGTACCTTCTTTGTTCTGCCTTCTGCATTTTCCCACTTTGCTTAAGAAGTACACCTGAGTCTCAAAGCAGATGTTCCTCCAATCTTGTCCCAGGAACCCTTCCACTCCACCAATTCAGAAGGGCAGGCAATTGTCCTTCTTAAACACAAGGGGAAGAAAAACATAACCATTGTTCTTTTCATCCCCAATAATACTGTTCTAACAAGTCTCACTCAGATAGAAGCCCAGTATTCAGAGTCATTAATACAAACGCTTTAAAAAAAACATATGTACACATATATATATATATATATATATATATATATATATATCCCTCTCATGCCAGAATGTTGGCTATTTCTCTTTGGGGAAATTAAAAAAAATGTGTCTACAATTTCTGCCTGACCCACAGATGTGGCTTCTGGGGCACAATCATGTGAGAACAGTGGCAGGCTACAGAATAGGGAAAAATATCTACCAACTACACATCTGATAGTGGTTCACTACAATTAAAAAACTGGATATCAAGGAAACAAATAACCCAATTAAAAACAGGGTACCCATCAGTTAGTGAGAAATAACTTTCCACCATCCCCAAATGAGCTTTCAAGGACTTCCCAAATGTCTTGGCATTGATTGAATTTTGGATCTTGATGGTTTAGGAAGTATTCTTGCTGCACCAAGCTGTCATTTATTTCTTTTTCCTCTGTGTAGCTTTGGAGCCTGTCCTGGTACTTGCTCTGTAGACCGGGATGGACTTGAATTCACAGAGATCCACATGCCTCTGCCTTTCAAGTGCTGGGATAAAAGGCGTGCTCCATCAACAACCAGCTTAACATATTTTTTATTGTAACCTCTCTTCAATGGTTATCTGTGAGAATCAATACCATGATGCTATGTTCTGTTATTCTGTTTGATCAGAGATGCAATCTATGTGCCCAGATTTTTTTTTTTCAAGACCCCACGAGTTTAGTGTGAAGGTTGCATACCCTCTGAGTCTGGTTCCTCCTGATCTCATTTCCTTCTGTTGTTTCCTCTTGCTTTCCATTCTCTGGCCGGAATTTTCCCTTACTAGTCTTTCCTCTAAGCATTACCTGTGGGATTCTGGCTTCTGCATTTGCTCTTTATCCTTCCTCACTGGCACTCATGTTGTCATGACTTACTAGAGCTTCCCCTCATTGGTGTTCCCTATTCAGTTATCGCTTCTATGGAGTTCCCCAGTAACCCTTTCTAAGAAACCCCCTCTATTTCCACTAACTGCCTTTGCTTTATCATTATATCTATCATCATCATCATCGAGATGTGGCCTCTCTATAGGACTCAACCTCCTGAACAAAAGCAATCTTCCAATCTCTGCCTCCCAAATAGCTGAGAGTTGTATATGGTGCATAACTGCTTCATTGCTTTTACAGCACTTACTAGAACGGAAATAGTACATTATACAGTATATGACATGTCTTATTTATTTTCTAAAAACCCTGTTACTAAGTAAGCACCTTGAGGGCGTAGAATCCTCTTTGCTGTTGTTTCCCTAGACAGACCCTAGGACTGTATCTGGTACATGGCAGTTGCTCCAAAATTGCTTGATATTAGTGTTCTTTAAAAAGCATTTTTCTCAGTGGATGATGATTCAGGAGGTTGTATGAGCCTGGTAACCTGAGTTTGATCCCAGCACTCCTATGGGAGGAGCAAGGATGAGACATTGAATCTGTCAGTTTGGGTTGCTTGCACACAGGTTTTTGTTTGTTGTTTAGCTTTAAAGTCGTTCTACGGTGTGTATTTCAACGTGAGGACGGAGATGACTGTTAGAAGTCGCAGCAGGATGGTAAAAGAGCTGACACCTTCAAGCAGGACAGGTTCGTGGCCACAGCCCAGAAGTAGGGCGGTGGTGGCATTAAGTCCCCGCGCGTGCACGATGGGGGGTCGGGAGGGCGCCTTCAATTAGGACAAAGGAGTCCCGCTCTTTAGAGGTTGGAGCGAGTCCACATGATCTGACAACATAGCCTGCCACTGAGGAGGAAGACTCCAGGCGCAAGCGCTCCAAACACTTAGCGAAAAAGACGCGCTTGCTGCCGCCTCTGTCTCTATGGCAAAGGACGCCGGAGGCGAGCACGCCCAGAACCCGCCCAGCGCTAGGACGCGGAAGCGCGCACGCTCAGTCCACTAGCAGACGTCATGGGCTTCCGCGAGATTGAGGCTTCCTCGCGATAGGTCAGGCCAGGCTATCAGGAAGTGACTCCCCGGAAGGAGCATGTCTGCTTTCCTGGTCCTGCCTAACGCGGCGTGCTGACCCGCCGACACCATGCAGTCGGATGATGTGAGTTCGCTCCCTTTGGTCTGGAGCCCCCGGGTTTGTGCAGGACATTTCGCTCATTTAGGACTCAGATCCATATACTTAAATGGCTTGTTCGTCTTCTGTTTTCTCGGATTGCGAGACTTCCAGAACCCCGATTTTCCAGTGGGTTCCCAGTCTAGTTTATCTCAGCGCCTCCACTGCGGTTAAAAGGCCAAGACACCCCAACCTCAGCCCATCGGCTCGACTTAATCTCTGATGCCTAGCAGTAAAGGCCCCTGTGGCAGTACAGGCTGGATGTTAGTTGCCCCGGGCCTTGGAAGGCGGGAGAGGTGCGAAGTTTAGAATTCATATTTAAGAGCCCTGATCATCCATGAGCGTTCCTTTTAAGTCTGCTTTTCCTGTGTTAGAATTTTCTTTACCTTGCTCTACTGCCTGAGTCGTAATTTCGAAAGTATCGTACGTTCGTCTGTTTACAGGAGTTGTAAATACTTAATCAATTAAGTGTGTAGGCACTGTGGTAATAATTACCGAGGATTTTGTTTACCAGTCAGACAAAAATACTTCTGCTCACAGAGCCCTCTGGGGATGGAGAATAAACATGCAACGTTTGCATGGTAAATGGTACCACGGAAGATGAGTAATGGACAAGGAGGAGAGAGCACTGCAGATAAGGCCAGGCAGACATTTGGATAAAGACAAAAAATGGGAATGAGCCAGCCACTGAAGGAGGGTAGGAATGGTAAAGGTTTAAAGACTGGAGATGGATGGGGAAGGTGGAATATAGAGGACACCAATGGGACTCTTTACAGGAATCAAGAGGATGAGAGAGGGGTGATGGATTTGATACACTTGCAAGGTCAAGTTGAATCCTGGAGGAAATTTTTTAGGTTCTTTTAGTAGGAACTGGGAGGAATGCTGTATTCTTTGGAGGAGTGTGGAACTGGGAGTTCCATTTGGCTGTGTTTATCATCTGGATCCTTTTAGAGATGCCAGGTGGGCAGCTAGATGAATAGACAAATCTGGTGCTTAGGAAAACCGTCTGACCCAATGATGTTTAAACACAAGCTTGAATGTTATCCTCCTTTCCCATTTCATTTTTTGTTTCCTTCCTCCCCCATCAGACATCCCTATTAAATCCCCAACATGTGTTTAATTCTTTGACATTTCTTCACTTTTCCCTTTAATTGCACTAGTCTTTCTCAGTTCCTGAAGGTAGTCCATCCAAAGACCTCTATATTCTCATACACCCATATACAGTTCTTAAATTGACTGCAACTTGTTGATGCATCATTTATGTACTATAGATGGTGCCTGAAGGACTGTTCTTTCTTTTATCCAACAAACACTCAAGAGTTTATGGAGACGTCAGTGCTTTTGCATTAGAATAAAGAACACATGAACTAGTGAGAGGTAGTAAAAGGTAATAAAGTTGTGGCATGTATATCTAAGTATCTAGTAGTGTGCGGCCTTCATAAATAGATAATGCAGACATGTGAAAAGTTACAAGGTATATGTGATATGATTAATTTTAACACTATACAGGGGTTCATATTATAGATGGTAGAGTAAATGTATATACTGGAAAAAATTGGGGAAAATAGTTGCCAACTGTTAATGAAATTCTGTTGCTAAGTAGTTAAGTCCTATAGACCAGGCTGGCCTTGAATTTACAAAGCTCTGTCTCCTTAGGGCTGGGATTAAAGTTTGTCAGCACGGGCCGCTATATTTAGGTGGATTTGTTTGTTTGTTTTATTTTACAAGTCTATGTTACTGTGTAAAGGAAAGAAATCAAACCTATTAAAAAAAATTTCTTTTCATTCCCTAAAAGCCCTTTCCTCATTGAGGTACTACAGCACTGTGCTATGGCAGGGTTCTCATTTTCTGTTTGTGTTTTGGTGATGGTGGAGACTCAACACCTTTGCACATGCTAGGAAGAATTCTACCATTGAGCACTGTTTGTAGCCTGGAGAACACTGTCTCTTTTTATATTCAGCAACATCTTTGAGGCCAGAGCAAAAGGGCTTTTACTTTGTCTTGCAGGTTATCTGGAATACACTGGGAAACAGACAGTTTTGTTCTTTCAAAATAAGGTGAGTATATTGCAGCCTAGACTGACCTGCATTTAGTTGCCCCCTTGGTTGTAAACATTATTCTCCTTGCATCCTAGAACCAAGACTCAGGGCTTTTGCAGAAATGAATATAGTCTGACTGGGCTGTGCAATCGGTCGTCCTGTCCTCTGGCAAATAGTCAGTATGCTACAATTAAAGAAGAGAAAGGTATGAAAACTTCACAATAGTTTATAACAGGTTCTTCCTAGTCTCTATAAATAATAACACAGCTGTTTAACTTCTCCTCAGGACAGTGCTACCTGTATATGAAGGTTATAGAACGAGCAGCTTTTCCTCGGCGGCTCTGGGAACGGGTAAGGCTCTGAGAAAGCTACAGTGACCACAGGTTAAGAGCAAGAATGCAATGTGCTTCTCTCTTCCCTGGGCCATCTCTAGAATTTGAAGCCATCTTCATTATGTATGCCCTGTTGGTACTGACCTAACCTGATTTAACCTTTCCCCCTCATGTTTCCCTTTTCTATCCCACAGGTTCGACTTAGTAAAAACTATGAGAAAGCATTGGAACAAATAGATGAAAATTTAATTTACTGGCCTCGCTTCATTCGGCACAAGTGCAAGCAGAGGTTTACCAAGATTACCCAGTACCTGATTCGAATTAGAAAACTTACACTGAAGCGACAGTAAGGACCAAGTTCATTTCTTTACTCACTTTTGGCCTACCACCTTTTCCTAGACCACGGCACAAGCAGTGTTTTGTATTAAATTCAACCATGACTAATCTGATATGGCAAGAAAAAACTTTGGGATGAAGATGTGTTCAATAGCTCTGCAGGATTTTAAAGTAGAATATGTGATTGTTATCCTGCCTGCCTAGAAATTGTTCTGTGGGAGTCCCTCAGAAAGGCTGAAATGAAAGGTTTCGGAATGGTCTAAAATTGTGATTAACAGGCGTATGAACTCCACTCTGGAGTCAAGAGTGGAACCCACAGGACTAATAGAATACCTTCTGAGGGTGTATGAGATAAAGGCCTTTTCATTGAGATCAGCAGAGAATGTTAAAAATCACGTGAACCTTTTCCAGAAATTCCTTTTTCTTTGAAGGATTAATTTTATTATGGTGAACCTAAAGAAAACAAAAGTAAACACATTAAAACACATGTTAATATCTGACTTTTATAGCTGGATGTGGTTGCACATAATTTTTTGTTGTTGTTTTGAGACAGGGTTTCTTTGTGTAGCTTTTGAGCCTGTCCTGAAACTCACTCTGTAGACCAGGCTGGTCTCGAACTCACAGAGATCCACCTGCCTCTGCCTCCCAAGTGCTGGGATTAAAGGTGTGCACCACCACCACCACCACCACCACCACCACCACCACCACCACCCGGCAGTTGCACACACTTTTAATCCCACCACTCTTGAGGTAGAGGCAGGTGAATCACTGAGTTCAAGGACAGTCTAGTCTACAAAGCAAGTTCCAGTACAGCCAGGACACAGAGAGACCCTGTCTCGAAAAACAAAAACAAACAAGAAAAATCTTTTGGTAGAGTTAAGACATCAAGCCCTCCAAGCTGGCCTGGAAACTTACGTAGTTTCCAACTCACAGTGATCCTTCTGTCTCAACTTAGTGCTAAGTTACTGATGTGAGCTGCTACTACCTGGGCTCCTGACTTTCATATAATTCAACTGTAGGTGTTGTGTGTGTTCATGCACATATGTACATGTAGAGCCTTGAATGTGCTGGACAGATGTTCGGTCACTGAGCTCTACGAGCAGCCTGAGTATCTAGAAACTTACATGCTCTATCTTGCCATATGGAGGTTAGCCACACAAAATCAGTTCTAATTCAAAATGAACTTGAATTTTCTAATGTATTTGATTTCTTCTAGGAAGAAACTTGTTCCTTTGAGTAAGAAGGTTGAACGAAGGGAAAAAAGAAGAGAGGTAACGTGTTCTGATATTTACAATGTTTGTATTTTCATGTGAGAAAGGAGTGAGATGCATGGAACTCATAATAATGAGTCACAGATGGGCAGTTATCGTCAGACATGGGATCTCTTTCATGTCTTCAGATTATTATGATTTTCACTGAAGGGTAAAAATAGATACTTTGGGGTGTTTGGATATAATGGGAAAAAGGTATTTTAGATAACTCCATGTCTAAAATTCTTCAAGTCATTAAACATTTCTGAATTTAGAATTTTGACATTGCCTGTCTCATACATTACCTTCAGCAGAGTTTAAACCCTGTCTTTAAGTAGCCTTGTGGCTATTTTGATTATATTACTTAGAAAATTGAAAGGTTTTGATTGTGGGATTCTTGTAAAAAAAAACAAAACCAGGACACACTGCTCTGATGTTGGATTAAGCTGCTCTGAAGTAAAGAGGGGTGGTGATGGCATGCATGAAGAGAGAATAGCCTGTTCAAGACTCTCCAGATTTTGTTCAGAGGATATTCTGTCTGTCCTTCTCACTGATTCTTCTGAGTCGAGCTGAGCTTCTATGATCTTCAAGACATATGTACACTTATCAGCTGTTCCCGACAAGCTCCAGTTTTCATTCATTTTTTGGCATTTCTATTTCTTTCTCTTTCACCAGATAACATCTCCCTCCCTTTGTCCTTTTAAGGAGCGCCTTCAATAATCTTTGGTGCTTTTATATCTCTAATCTATCATCTCATTGCTGTCCATCTTACTGTGTGACCTAAACTGGTCATACATGATCCTCCTTCCTCAGCATCCCATGGTACTGGAATTGCAGGTGTGTACTGCACATAGCTTATGTGATTGGAGACTACAATCATTATGAATTCTTAATTCTCCATTCATTATGCACCCATTTTTTTTCAAGTCCAGCTATTGAGTCTCCCATGTTCAAGCAAACTTTTCAGAGTGTGTACACTTTCTCCCTGTGAATTCAGAGGCCTCCCCTTCTTACCAAAAGTTTTCTGACACTTTTTTAATCCTCTAATGTATTTACATATTGTGTTCAGTGCACACTTGCATGGTGTAGCATGTGCATGGAAATCAGAGGACAGCTTTGGCTGACAGTCCTCAGACTCATTCTACTATTTGAGATCTTTTTTGGTCTCAATTCTGTAAGCAAAAATCTTTCCCACAGACTTCCAGGGGTCAACCTGTCTCTGCCTCCTCCCTTGCTCTTGGCACAATTAATGGTATGTGCCATCATGCCTGACTTCCTGCGTGGATCCTGGGAGTATAAACTCAGGTCCTCATGTTTTCAGGTTAAGCATTTTACCAATGGAGCCAGCTCCCCCAACCCCTATGATATTTTTTAAGTGTATGTAGGCATATATGTGTAGTCTTGTCTATCAAGGGCTCATTGAAAACTTAGAATACTATTGCTAAAGCCATAGGATTTATTTGTTACATTTATGCAAATTATAGAAGGGAATTGTTTAATTGAAAGGTTCCCAAGAGGCTTTGAGGGGGGAAAGAAGAAATGTATCTGACTAGAAACAAAAGCCTCACTAATGGAGGCCAGTAGGAAATAACCACATTACATTATACTGTTATTAAAAACTGGTAATTTATTTGTACAGATGAGAAAATGAGTCCTAACAGAGTAATGGATTTGCTCTTTTTCTTATAGGAAAAAGCATTAATAGCTGCCCAGCTGGACAATGCCATTGAGAAGGAATTACTGGAAAGACTGAAACAAGATACGGTGAGAAAGCTAGTAGTGTTGGGAGCATGTGTTTTCCTAAGTAGTAGTAGTATGCTAGGAAGTACAGAAAGAGCATTTCCCCCAAACTGTTTATTTGCTTACGTGTTTGTTTGTTTATTTATTTATTTATTTATTTGGTTTTTCGGGGCAGGGTTTCTCTGTGTGACAGCCCTGGCTGTCCTGGAACTCACTTTATAAATCAGGCTGACCTCCAACTAGTGATCTATTTGCTTCTGCCTTCCAAGTGCTGGGATTAAAGGCATGCACCACCACTACCACCCCTAATGTATTTATTTTTAAGCATATCACAAATGGCCTTCCCACTGCAGTTTGTCCAAATTCATGTGGGCCTGTCTTTCTGATGAGACTTTTTTCCTTATTTCCAGTTTACACTCCCAAGATCAACAGTTCTATATAAAAACATAAAAGTCCAGGACAGCCTCTAAAGCTACATAGAAATCCTGTCTCAAAAACCATAAATAAGTAGTCTTAGGCTTTTTGTTTTTCCTGTCCATGCACAGCCTCCAGGGACAGACCTGACTCCAGGCAGCAATGAAGAATAAAGATAGATTGGCAGAAAGTTGCGATTGGATGGATTGGGCTTTTGGATGAGAAACCTGAGAACCTTCCAAGCTCAGCATGTTTACTATAGAGAGCTGAACAGGAAGGCTGGTTGTTGCACACAGCTGAACAAGGGAGCAGGGACAGGTTCAGCTAAATCTCATTTGGAGCAGTCTTTGTAGTGAGGACTTCTTCAGACCATAAATGTTGGGAGATGCAGAGCTATAGTAGCCATTTTCTGCACACACTGTCAACATGTGTATACAGACCAGAAGACAGCTTTGCCATCCCTCTCTGAGCCTCACCCCGAGAGGAAACTTTGCCATTCTTCCATGGATCTGATGCTCTGGGGTCCTTGGCATGGCCATGCCCATGTCATCAGCAAACTCACACACTTCAGCACCTCCCTATAGTTTATTTTGTTGTTTTGAGACTGTAATTTCATGATACCCCAGATAACTGATGATAGCCTCAGGAGTCACTATGTAACAAAAGATGAGTTTAAATTCTTGATCCTCCTGCCTCCAACCTCCCACATGCTGGGTTATAGGTGTCCATCACTGTGCAGGTATATATGATGTTGGGGATTGAACCAGGAATTTTTATGTGAACTGAGCTCCATCCTCAATCCCGATAAGAGTTTTTGCTTCTATGTCTTACTCTAATTTGATGCTCTTTAAAATGAGTTTTTAAAAATCTTTTTTAAGATGTCTTAGCCTTTTGACTAAGGTCAGTGTCATTTAGAAAAATGGAAAGGTGATTAAAACATTATTTCCCTTTCTAAACAAAATTAGATTTGTCCCAATGCATGTGGTTGCATAAATGAGTAGTTTGAAATGTTGTGGTTCTCTTTTCCATAGAAGCCTTCTATTTAATACCAACCACTGATTGTTAAATGTAAACATACTGTACCTAGGTTGGAAAACCATAGAACAATTGTTCATCCCAGGCTTCTTATTTAGTCCCTGTTGATGAATAATGTGCTTGTCAGGCAGAAGAATTCTGAAAAATGTAATTCTCAAAAATAGTTAAAGGCAGTCTGTTTGTTCTTCAGTATGGCGACATCTACAACTTCCCCATACATGCCTTTGACAAGGCCCTAGAGAAACAGGAAGCAGAGAGTGACTCTGAAGATGAAGAGGAGGATGAGGAGGAAGATGAAGAGGTGAGTATGGTTTGTCTTGTTTTAAAACAACGTAATCTTTATTATGATAGGTCCTCATGTAATTCAGAAGGGAACATTACTTACACCCCCTTTTGTATCATAAGTTTAAATTTGGTTTTTCTTTCTAATGTTAAGCTTGATAGTAGATTTTTGTAGCTGAATATGTAGGTAGACTCTGATTCACTCATTCATGAAAAGAGGTAAAATTAGATACCTAAACTGGATCTTCATTGATTTCCCCCCCTAATTGTTAACTGTTTTATTTTAGGATGTGGGGAAAAGAGAGTTTGTAGAAGATGATGAGGTAGATGAGAGTGACCTGAGTGACTTTGAGGTGAGTTCTGTGGGGTAAAGAATGTCCTGTGCCTGCAGCAAGCAGGGAAAGCAGGGAGGATCTGAACACACAAGAGCAGATGAGCCCTATGGTCTCTCCTGAACTGGCAGAGCCGGGAAAGGGAGTTTGGAGAAACCCTGCACTTTCCTGCTCTGACTTGTGTCTCTGCATATTAGGATATGGATAAACTGGATGCTGGCAGTGATGAAGAACAGGATGAAGAATCCTCCAGTGAAGAAGAAAAGGCACTTAAGGCCAAGCACAAAGGCAAAGCACCCTTGAAAGGACCTTTGCGGAAAAAACGGGCCTATGTGGAAATAGAGTATGAGCAGGAAACAGAGCCCATGACCAAAGCCAAAACCACATGAGTTCCAGTCACATTTATCCCAAAAAGTCAACACTTTCCACTGTGCTCTTTTGTGCTATATTTCATACAGTATTTATATTGTTAATATTTATGTCACTTCAGTAGAGCAAAAATCTGGAGTGACTGGAGATTCTCAATTGTAGACTATTTTTCTAACATGTACTGTAACAGCTTGAGCCCAAGGGGCCTAACAGATGAGTTCCTGGGACTGGAATGACATTTTGCCTGTAAATATTTCTAAATTACAAATGCTAAACTCTCCCCTCCCCATTTTTACTTAGAAATGTCATTGCTTCTTTACCCTTTTTGGTTTTTGAAGACAAGGTTTCTCTCTGTAGCCTGGGCTATCCTGGAACTCTTTCTATATAGATCAGTGTAGCCTCAAACTCAGACCATTGTGCCTCTGCCTGCTAAGTGCTGGGATTTAAGGTATGCCACCACCACCAGGCTTCAATTTCTTCTTTATTGTTCAGTTTCTCTCATAAGGATAAACTGAAGGAAACAAAGTTCCAACTTACAATCTTTAATATAAAAATAGATTTTTCCATAATTTTGTCCATAAGATCTGGGATAGGAAAAACGCCCATCTAAGTGTTATCACAGGGAGCAGCTGCAGAGCTCTGCTGCACTTTCCTGATGTAGCTCACCACTGTGCTGTCCTCACAGGATAGGACAATTTTAGACAGAAGACCCTGAAACATGAAAGCAAACAGTCATTAATTTTTATAAGACCTGTTTTCCTCAGTTTTTTCCCACATACTCAATAAGAGTGCATGGCACTAAGAGAAAGTGCCTCCATCAAAACAGGTGTTAGCTAAAAACTGTCCAGTGCTTGTAAGTAACCCACTGGCTCTCAAGAGCCTGCTTCATCCTAGACAAAACAACTCAAGCTGGACCAGAAAACTGTAGAAAGTAAAGGGCAGCAATGGAATGTTTTAATAAACTGAAAAAAATAACAAATCATACTTTAGCTGGACATATTTTGGGGCATGAATTTCTTCTCAGGTTCCTTTAATCTTTAGTAGATTTCTAACTGTGGTAAAGATGGAAATTCATCTTCTACTCATATGTAAATAAATACACATTAGACACCATAAACTACAGATGTGAGAATTTTGTGGAATATGAAACTAAAGGAGAATTCCCTACTGGTAAACTGAGTATTTGTGGACTGGGGTGAATAGCTCTGTGAGATAAGCACTGGGCCCTGAGTTCAGTCCCATGTTTAAATCATGCTTGTCAGGAGTGAGAACACACACCCATAATTGAGTATGAGGAGACAAGCAATTCCTCAGGGACGACTTGCCCACTAGCCAGCCAAGCCTGCTTGCAGAGTTCCCCATCAGATCCTATCTAAAAGGAAAAGTAGAGATGGTGCTTAAGGAATGACACCCTCTGTCACCTTTACATGTACATGCACACATGACACAAACATCTCAGAGCTGTCCCTCCCGCCATGGGAACATTGTGATATTTCAGTTATAGTATTACTCCTTGGCAGCTTACAACCTCATTTCATTGAGCTTTTTTGGTACTGGTTTTAATTTGGAGTCTAGAACAGAACTTTAATGTATCTACCTCACTAACATAGAAGGTGTCTTGTCAATCTCAGAACTTAATTTTTATGAAATCTTGGTGGCTTAGCTAGTTCGTTCTTGTCCTAAATGCCAATAACATCTGATCCTCTTTTTTTCTCAATGGTTTTGAATAGTATTAAAAGAGTTTGGCCCTAGCACCAAAAATAAATAGGGTAAGGTATTGAACACAGTCCAAGACCCAGAGAGTACAGAGGTAGGGGGCTACCACCCTTCATGCTCATGTCTAAATTTGGCTGCGCATACATACAGTAAATTACAATTAATTACTGGAGTTACCTAGGAACCAAGAGGCCAACTGAAATTGACTTGCAGAGTCTGCCTTACCTTCACCTGCCCGTGAGAACAGTGGTCCAGGAGAACCAGGCAGTCTGTGGCTTCTTGGAGCAGGGTGCACTTAGTAGCCTCAGTTGTGAGGCTTGTGTCCCTTGCTACATCGCATATCAGTTTCAGGAGAGCCTTCAGCAAGACCACAACTCTGCAGGAAATTCTGGAATCAGGAAAAAAACCTTCATATTGCAAATTAAAAAAGTTAAACTTGGGTAAGACCTGGTCCAAACATGGGAAAACTGAAATCATTATTTTTTGCTATCAAAGGGCTGCAAACAGGACCAAAGACAGACTATAGATTGTTAGTTCCTTTCTACTATACCCAGACTGTGTACACACATTGACTTGTTCAAGAATACTTTATGCCAGTCAAGAAGCAGAGAGACATGTGGGTTCTGTGAATTTTTGAGCAGCCAGGGCTATAGTGAGGCTCTGTCTCAAACAAACCAACAGAAAACTCAACTTTGTTTCCTGCCAATGCTTGATCCTGTTCAGGGAAACTGCCCTATTATGGGCTGAGAATGAGATGGGCCAAGATCTCTCCTATATTCTTGACTCCAGATAAGACAGCCCAGTCATGTAACTTAATGCCTGAGACATTAAGAATAAGTGAGGTATGTGTTTATAATCCCAGCACTTTGGACACAGGAGAGTCTAGAACTTGGGCTTTACTACAGAGAAAAACCTTGCTTTAAAAGAGAAATAAGGATGACTGGTAATGCTTAAGTGTCAATATGAACTTGCAGTCATTGGCTACTTGCTTGCCTATTCTATTATTCTATTACTTTTCTCTAAGTCTTCATCCTTCTGATGAAATGAATACAACTAATGGTTTTATAACATTCTGGCTGTAAGTCATGCCACTAAGTTATAGCCTTTAACTTGGTAAGTTTTTTGTTGTTGTTGGTGGTGGTTTTTTGTTTTTCAAGGCAGGGTTTTTCTGTATTGCTTTGGAGCTTGTCCTGGAACTAGCTCTGTAGATGAGGCTGGCCTCAGAGATCTGCCTGCCTCTGCCTCCTGAGTGCTGGGACTAAAGGCATGCGCCACCAACGCCCAGCTTAACTTGGTAAATTTTACAAACTAAACTTTGATGAAAGGTGGAAAATAACATATACTGTGTGAAAATATATAAACAAACCATATTTCTGGATAGAACTGTGACTAGCAAAAGCATTTCTAACCTTTCATCTCAAACTGTTTAGTGTTTCCCTATAGCTTATGTTTCTCTGTAACCATTCACTCTAACACAACCTACTATGTTCAAACTTCCCATGCTTTGCCTCTACACAGAGACACACAAGCTCCTGCCCTGACCTCCCTACATTTCTTCACTCCCTTCTTGGAGTCTTTACCCTTTAAAGGCTCACTACAGAATCGGTTTGATTCAATTTCATTTATTCATCTACTCGTTCTCTATAAACTTATGTACTTAATAACAGGTACTAAGGACCCCAAATAAACTTTCTTCTAGAAATTGCCTTGTTCATAGTATCTTACCATAGCTATAGAAAAGTAAGACAATCTGCAACTTTCCTGACCATATGAATGTTTGTTGTTGTTGTTTTATGTGTTAGATTTTTTGTTTTGTTTTGTTTTTTTTGTCATTTTAAGAAAGGGTCTATTGTAGCCCAGGCTGGTCTGAAACTCATTATGTAGGTTAGAGTGGCCTCAAACCTACAGAGATCTGCCTGCCTTTGCCTCTTGAGTATTGGACTTAAAGGGCTGCGCCACAGTGCCCACCCTTAGAACTTCTAAGGAATAGAGTGATTTAATTGTGTCAGAATCTAGAACTACTGGCTGATGAAATAAGGTAAAAAGAGATTCAGATACATGTCCTGAATATTTTGTCTCGGCGAGTTCTGAGGTGAAAGTTAACCTAAGCATGCCCTTTTAGCACACCTGTCAGCTTGGATGCTATACCTGGGCCAAGTATACTGCATGACAAGTTTCAGGGTTTCCAGTATCTTCAACCTAGTTTCTTCTTCTGGTCCATCATAAACCTCCAGATAACCAATGATAACTCGCTCCAGCCTCTTCAAGTGCCAGACAGTTAGAATCCCCAACCTAAACAATAAGAGAAAATGAGATGCTAAGAAGTTGAACATGGTGTCTATGACCAGAGAAGCCCAGGCACTTACTTTTTCACAAAAGCTGGCAGGTTTCTGGCATAAGTTCTACGTAGGAGAAGGCGATGCTCGGGCTCCATGTGGGTGAGAATCAGTTGTAGGACATCGTGACATTGTGTAGTGGCTCGAGCTGCATCTCCCTTCCAGTGCCGAGCTTTCTCAAGGACAGGGAATAAATCTAGGAGACACAGGAGCACAGCCTAGAATAAATGAATAAAAAGAAAATGAATAAAAAGAAAGTTCATTTGCATCCACAGCATTTATGACTTTTCTAAGATCTTCATTAACCTACTGTCCCTGGGATATATAACAGAATTCTAAAAGATACCTGTAATTAATGTATGAGGTACATATTACTGCAAATTTTCAAGCTTCCTCTCCAGAAATGTTCTTTAGTAATCTGTGAATGGAAAAAATGGCTGAACTCAGGCCTTACTTAACCCAGGGCACTTATTTATCTGAAGTTGTGGTGTCTAGGGATTCCTTTTTAGCACTCTGGGAACCTCTGTCTTTCCTAGGTGTCTGATGATTTTAAAATCTCCTTTCTCCACCATGTTAATAAATTTTCAATTTGATAGCAAGTGGATTCTCAGTACTCAAAATATTACTGTAGCAAAAGCACAAAGCAGAAGCAAGGAGCTGCTGGACACTTTGTTATGCACCCACCACCCCAGCACTTAGTAGCCAGGGTCAGAGCACGTTCCAGGCCAGCCTGGGATAGAATCAGACCCTGTCACAAAAAACAAAAGGTTGAGGAAGAGGCTCAGAATAGAGCACCTTCCTTACATGTATGAGGACTAGGATTCAGTCCCAGCACAAAGGAAAACCAGATGTCTCTACTTACAACTTTCTATAGCTTGATTCTTCTGTCTTTACAGTGTTCTTCTCCCTCCTAAGAAACCACTCTTTACCATTCATAAACATCTATCCCGTCTCCTAAAGCCACCCTCAACCTTGCTAGTTGCCTACTGCTACTGGTTACACATTACAGCTCTTGTAATATAGCTATTGCTGTATTGTAAATTCAGAGATATATGTGTACAGTCATATATTTACATAAAAGCCTTCCAAAGGGTTTCAAGCCAGAAACACTCTGAGTCACTTATTCTTGAAGCCTAGCATCGAACACAGTAGCTATCAGTTAATGGCTGTTGGCTGAAAGAATGACATGAAGTTTCAAACACATGTGTTGACATGAAGCAGCACAGACTAGAACATATAACTTAATAAAACCAGACCCACCCACAGGTGGCTTATAGTTGACACTCATGAAGATAAAACCCTGCTGCCCTGATGCTCAGGAGAAGAGATGCCCTCTTAACACTGAGATGCTCTCAGTTAGGAAGCAGCTTTCAGGTGCCCTCATTTTCCCAGTGGAAAACAGCTCTAAACTGCTCCTACTAACATAACACCACCCTCTACTCATACCAGAACCCAGTTAGGAGTAGCTCTTACAATACCTGAATGAGATGGTGCTCTGGCATGTACAAGTGATTGAAAAGGGCATGGTATAAGACCTGGGCTCTGTTGTACTGTAGCAAATCAGCAGCTGGCTGCAAACACACAAGTTATCCAGTTAAAGGTTTCTCAAGAGAGGCAAAATGTGAATGATTTTAAATGAGACATGGGCATATGCAGACTCAGTAAATCATCCTCTTCAGTATACATTGTAAAACTTCACAATATAGAAGTCTCTTTTAGTAATACCCTGTACACTTTGGTATGATCACTTTTAGAGTTCTGATTTTTTTTAAACTTGAGAGCTACCTGTTAATTTCTATAAGCAAGTTTTGGTTTTGTCTTTGTTTTCATTTTTATAATGAAACATGACCTTGTCTCTTCTAAAATTACCATTTTATTTATTTTATTACCAATGAGGTACTATTTCTACCAGGTTGGAAGAGAAAGGTATATACATATGTACTGAGAGAGTGGTAAAATATATAAATAAGTGAATTAAATGACAACATGAAAAGAAAGCTATTTATAAAGACATAAACATAGAGTAAGAATATGCATAACTCAGTCTGCCCATCAGTAGAGGCTAGAGCTGGGCAGCTTACCACATTGATCACAATGTGATGGAGGCACTGCACACCCAGGACTTTATTCTCAGTCTGATAGTCATCTGAGATGAGCAAAGACGGAGGAAGAGTCTTCTCCAGGTGCTGGCTCAGCCAGGGTTGAGTGACTTGTTGCAGGGTCCACGAGAAAACATGTTTGACAGCAGGATTATTCTTCCAGGACTCCCTGCCAGGACACATGAAAACCACACTTAAGAGTGACACAGCTTCAGCAAAGAGAACTAGTGAAACTTAACAAGAGCTTCCTGTTTTGTCTTTAGCAGGTTTACACGTGTGTGTGTGTGTGTGTGTGTGTGTGTGTGTGTGTGTATGTATGTATTTCCTATACAACTATTGTTTCGTCAAATACATTTTATGATTGAATTGGGTTAATTTACATAGCTTACACTATATACACTTAGCAACTGCCCAAACTCTGGGTAATAAAAGCTTATTCAGTAAGTAGCAGCCATTCACAACTACAGCTATGTGAAAGTCCTGTGGGGTTAATGGTGGTCATGTGTGTTGGTGGATGATGTGGCATGTGACATGTGCTGGCAAGGGGAGAGGAGAGTAAAGGTGTCTCACACTATGTGTCCACCAACTTTTATAAAACAAGTGTGCACATCTTACTCAATCTCCTCAAAATAATAACCATATAATAGGTGTATTACCTTTACTTACAAATAATAAAACAAGATTCATGGAAGCTTCCTGACCTAGTCCTACAAAGAAACACTAAACTGGGCACTGTGTTGCACCTCTGTAACACAGAGGAAACATAGGAAAACACTGGGGAAACTGAGGCAGGGGGATCTCTCAAGGTTGAGGCCAACATAGTGAGTCTAAAACAGCCTATAATCATATCTTTAAAAAAAAAAAAAAAAAAGACTAGTTTCAAAGCCTTTTGGCTCCAAGTTTATTTTGTCTCATCATACTGGTGCCAGAAGACTGGGAATCTACTCAGATGGTGAGGTGCTTGCCTAACATGCACAATGTCCTGGGCCCAATCCACGACAACACCAGGCATGGTGAGGCATGCCTGGGGGGCACATGTGCAATCCCAGGACTTGGAGGAAGGATCAGAAATTCAGGGCCACCATCCTTGGCTACATGAAAACATGCCTGAAGGGTGATACACTGCTCAGTGGTCAAGAGTATTTGCTGCTCTTACAAAGGACCCAGCAACTCTGTCCGGTGGTTCACAGTTACATTTAAGCCCAGCTCCAGGGGATCAGACACCTCTGGCCTCCTCAGGCACCTGCACTCTCATGCAGACACACACACCTATACATAATTAAAAAATAACAAGATCCTAAAAAGAAAAACAAATTCTGCCTGGAACAGGTGTGATGGCACACACAGAAATTAGATGCAAACCAATCTCTCTTAGTTCCATGCTAACCTGACCTACATAACAGTTTCGGGATGGCCAAGGCTACACAGTCAGACCCTATCTTAAAAATAAACAAAATATAAATAAGCACAATTAAAACCTGCCTCAAAACAAAATACTAGAAGTAGCAAGTCAAAACCGACGGCAAGTATTTTAATCCCATCCATTTTATAATAAAGGGTTTTCATTATTTTATTACAACTATCACTCCCTTATATTATATATAACTTAATAACTAGAGTTATTAGAGTTAGAGGCCCCAGTATTTAAATTCAACCTAAAAGTCTGGCCCCTTTCCAAATGCTCATGGGTACTTAGCATAAGATAGTTGATTCCATATAGAAGGGGCAGGATTTCCAATTTCCATTGCTACTGTCAGAATTTCCAATTTCCCAAGGCAGTCAGTCATTCAGTGAAGAAAATGGAGCTTGAAGACTTCAGTTCTAATCTGGAGTTTGCCTTCTATCTAGTTACTTCATTTCTAGCAAGTCACAACCGTTCTGGGCCTTAAGAGATCTAATATGCCAGCATCTTTACCTGCCTGGTAAATGGTGAAAGGCGCAGTACTCACTTATTCAAATGGGGCTTAAGAAGCCCCAAGACCACAGCAAATCGCCCTGGATCGTCTTCATTCTCTCCGCACAGGAATCCTGACACGGAACTGCACCCACTAACTCGAAGCAGTGAGGACAGCACCTCGTCAGCCACGTACTGAGATCTGGGACTGGTCCACGGCTGCTTCAGCCTGTGTGTAGTGGCAAAAACATACGCGGGTCCTGCCAAGTGGCGGAGGCCCGTCTTCCAGGCGGCGGGGCACGCGGGAGAACTCTTGGCAGCTTCAACCTTCCCCAACAGCTTAACAAAGAGTAGCCCGACTTCGGTTGCTTTCCCGGCCACTTCGGAATGCCCGTCGCCTCCCTGTTCCTTCTCCTCGGCTGGGGCTGCGAGCTTCTCCAGGGCCTTCGCCACCTGTCCCAGGACCTCGGGCGTGCCCCGGGGCGACTCACCGCTCCTCGTCCCCTCAAACAACTCGTCACATTCGGCGGCTGCTAGCAGAGCAGCGAGGCCTTCCAGGACGCCTGACTCCTGGCGGCTCAGGCCGCGCAGGATCTCGGAGAAGGCTCGCTCGAGGGTCCCGGGAGAGCCCTGTGCGCGCGGGGCGGGGCCGTCCCGCCCGAGTTCGTCCTCAGCGCCGCCAGGCTTCATTGCTGACGGCGCCCGGCTGTGCCGGGCTCCCCGCGGGGACGGACGCCGACGCGCGGAGGCACGGGCGCCCCGGGGCCGGGACTCCCCCCAACCAGCAGAGCCGGAACCATAGACGGTGAAGGGGCGAGCTGTCGAGGCAAGGGCCGGCTGGGGCCGGGAAGCGGGTGTGAGAAGGGGCCTTGCTGCGGCGAGAGCTTCAAACTCCTAACACGCGGAGGAGTCAGTCTCTCTGGGGATTCAAAGGTAAACGACAGAGCCGTGACACGGACGAGGCGCCGGGCACCCACAGCTCAGCCTGTACAGCCGCTACTTCCGGCCCCCGGGTAACTGTGTGCCGTAAAATGCAGAGATAACTTCCGGCAGCGGAGCCGCAATGCTTCTTTTCACGACTCGCAGCCGAAAAGCAACGAACAGCCCGACGGAGAGGGAAAAAGTAAAAGGTGGAGCTATGAAGACTATATTTGCATAATTCAGCGTCCGCTCAGTAATTTTGCTTCTGATTTCATTTTCCGGGGCAGAAGCAGGAGAATGCTCACAAAATTGCAGCAGTAGTTTTGAAATGTATGAGATTTTTGTGTGTAAAAACTAAACAGAGTTGCACTGCGCTAGTCACCCTCTCTGATAAACTAGTAGGAGTGAGTTGATGCTTCCCTGCGCAGCCAGCCCAGCGATCCTTTTTTGGTTCATAAGCGTGATGATTGGGGGTTCACGCCTTTGCGTGACTTGTGCCGCCCATTTAAACCTTGTTACGACGTGGGCACATTACCCGTCTGACGTGAACTTAAAGGATCCACTAGTTGTGTCTTAAGCTGAACAGCTCAATTTTAGTTGCTTGCTTATACTGTGTTCGCTTATTACTCTCTTTTCCGTCTTGTTTAGAGTTGGTATGCTGGGACGGCTCATTTAAGAAAGTAGTATGTGTTATGTATGTATCTTATTGCTGGGACGGTTCATTTAAGAAAGTAGTATGTGTTATGTATGTATCTGCAGGCGTACATATTTTTTATCGAACAAGCCCTCTCTAAACAAACCAGGTAGTAAAATAAAGCTTGTTGTTTTTAATTATTATTTTATGTGTTATGAGTGTTTTGTCCACATGTGTACCCTTGTGTCCACTGAGCGTGCTTGGTCCTTATGAAATATCTAGTTTACTGAATTTTGAATTTCTGAGGGTTGTTACTTATGATATGCTTTTAACTGCTGAGTTAACTCTTCAGCTCCGTGACATACACTTCTTTTTTATTTTATTTTTTGACATACACTTCTTAGTAAACTATTTGCAATTACCCTTTCTGTGGTGCCTAACTGCTTCCCCGCCCCTCCCCCACACAGTTCTTTTTTGTTTGTTTGTTTTATTTTGTACTTTTTTCTATGTGACCTTTTGCAAACATGCAATAACTCAGATCTCTGTGTCTTAATGTCTGTATTATCTTTTAGATAATAGTCCTCACTTCTTAGGGGACTGTCGGGAGATTTTTTTTTTTTTTAAGTTTAATGTACATAAATGCTGAGGACATTATCTGATCAGCATAAAGGTCATACAAATGTTAGCGCCTACTCTTATGCCACAGCACTAGTATTAATTTACATTTCTTCTTCCAAGGAAATTTGGTCATTAGAATCCTAACTCAGGGTCTCATTTATTTGGCTTTCCCCGCTCTGACCAATTGGTGGCACTCCTGATCAATCACTGTTAAGCACATTCAAGGGAACCTTCCCACATAAAGGCCCACGGGCAGCAGCATGATGCTGGTTAATAAGAGGTTATTGTGTTCCTTCTGTGTGGGACGTTTCTTCTCCATACATGTGTCCCTTGTATTCAGTGGATTCAGGCATGCTCTTGAACTTAAGGAATGCTCTTTATTGTAGAGATCTCTTGCTGAGCTTCCTGAAGCCAGAGCTAGCCTTGCCTTTACTCCTAGTGCCTGGCACGATTTAGTTAGGCAACAAATGTATCCTAAACCCCCGTGTCCACACACAATGCAGCTGTATGCGGCTGCATCCACACAATACAGCTCAGTACCGATGCACTGAGGAAAAGAGAACCATCTTCATGCAATGCTGTGGAACTCCAGAGTATACAAATAGGTGAAAAGAGTAGAGGGGATTTTGTCTTGAAAAAAAAGGGGGGGGGGATAGAGAGCAAAATGCATTTCCTTGTATGAATGTACAAGACTCAATGTAGAAATTGAGTCTAAATAACAAACTAATAAAAATTATATTTAGGCTGTATTACCCTGTTTTGTGGCAATTTGACACAAGCTAGAGTCATTGGAGAGGAGCCTCAGTTGAGGAAATGCCTCCATGAGATCCAGCTGTAAGGCATTTTCTCAATTAGTGATCAATGGGAGACAGCCCAGTAAATTGTAGGTGGTGCCATCCCTGGGCTGGTGGCTCTGGTTCTGTAAGAAAGCAGACTGAGCAAGCCATGGGGAGCAAGGCAGTAAGCAGTACCCCTCCATGGCCTCTGCATCAGCTCCTGTCTCCACGATCCTGCCCATTTTGAGTCTGCCCTATTCCTTCAGTGATGAAGAGTGCTATGAAAGGGTAAAGCTGAATAAACCCTTTCCTCCCCAACTTTTTTTTTTTGTCATGATATTTCTTAACTGCAAAAGAAATCCTAACTAAGACAAGGGAATAGCAGAATGAAAGGAATAGAAATGAAGGCCAGACCTCTCTATACACCCTTCAGTAGTTTTGACTTTGGAATCATTTGAATGCCTTTCATAGTTATTTTCAACAGAAGATAAATCAGGTTTAGTGGCACATGACTATAATACCAGCATTTGGGAGGCTAAGACAGGAAGGTCCAAGATCCTTGAGTAAATAATAATGTAGCTCATTTGGGGACATGTTTGCCTGGCATGCACAAGACAATGGACTAGAACCCACAGCACCACATGAAACTGGGTATGCTGATGCATGCCTGTAATTCCAACACTCAGGAGGGGAAGGCAGCAGGATCAGAAATTCAAGGCCAGTCTGAGCTACAGGAAGCCCAGACTTAGAAAGAAGAGAAGGAAAAAAGGAAAAAAGAAAGAAGGAAGGAAAATGAAAGAAAAAAAAGAAAGGAAGGAAGAAAACTATAGTCATATTCACTAGAATGGCTCGAAACAAAAAGCACTGAAAATTTTTGGCAAGGCTTTTGGAAAACTGAGAAAGAATATGAAATGCCCACATGACAGTGAATGAAGCCATGAGAATGTTGTGGAACAGTCTGACAGTTTCCCTGGGAATTAAACAGACTTAACACAGAGATGAACAGGATTCAACAATTCTCTCCCTAGATATATAGCCAAGATAACTAAATTCTTGTAGTGATACAAAAACGTGGACAGGAGTGTTCACAGCTACAATCTCCTTAGGCAGTGAAATCAGTTCAACAGAAAACAATGGATAAATGCTATAGTTCACATTGCCCTAAGGCCCATATCAAAGGTTTCTGTCTCACCACCCAGGCCCATATCAAAGGCTTGTGTCCTGCATCCCACAGGATGTGGTCCTCTTGGGAGAGAGCTGAAACTGTAAGAGGCAAGCAGGCATGCATTGCTGTGACAAGCACTTGAGACTGCTCTTATAAAGAGGGAAAGGTTATGTTGGCTCATGGTTTCAGGTGTTCTCTGTTTTGGGTCTAGGGTAACACAGTAGATGGTGATGAGAGAAAACAGAAAAAAGCTGCTCCTCTTGTGGTATCTGGGAAGAAAGAGAGTGAGAGACAGACAGACAGGCACAAGCAGACAGAGGGAGAGAATGACTAGGGCCATATTTCCAGTGTCTCCTTTGAAGGCAGCCACTTATTGATCCAAACACTTTCTACCTGGCCTTTCTTCTAAAGGTCCTGCCACCTTGCAGTAGAGAACAAGTTAGAGAACAAGCTGTCAACACATGGGCCTTTGGGGTTTTAGTTCATATGCAATCAAACCTATGAGGTAAATGGTTGTGCTCTGGCATGAACATACTGGATGAGGCACCACAGGTCCAATGCAACCTGGCCAATAGCTCATATGCTAGAATTGGCAACAAACCTTTTTTTCTTCATAATTTGACTACACTAGCTGCTTTGTTATGATGACAAAAACTAACACAGTTTTATGAAGTGTGATAGATACATGCAAGGGGATTTTGCTTAGCCAAAGTTAAAGTTTTCGGTTTGTTCTGTTTTGTTTGTTGAGCGTTTTCAATGCTGGGGATTGAACCTGTGACCTTACCCATGCCAAACACATGCTGTATCACTGAGCTGTGCCCTCTGCTGTAAGTGAGATTCTGATGCATACTACAGTATGGATGAACCTTCAAGACATTATCCAAAGTAAAATAAGCCAGCAATAAAGGCACAGGTTATATAATTTTACTGGCATAAAATTCCCAGTGTACATGTATCAATAAAGTCACAACATAGACCTGTGATTCCTAGGAGATGGAAGGATGGTTGCAAATATTTACAGGGATTACTTTTAGGATGCTAAAAATATCCTGGATATGGCTAGTGGTAGTGACTTCCTAGTCTTGTAAACTTTTAGTGAGCTATATAGCCTAAAATGGAATATTGTGGTTTGCACATTAAATTTCAGTTAAATAGTGCTAAGGGCCAGCAAGATGTCTCCACAGATGTAGAACACACTGAGATCCATGGAAATGTGGGAAAAGAATCAAAACAACTATCAAATGCAAATTATTATATGTAAAGATATGGGCTCTGGACTGCAAGGACAAATAAGTAGCGTCTAGTTAATACAGCAAAAACCCAAGGACAAAGGGTAGGCTCTTCAATGTTGCATTTACACTAGCTGAATACCAGTCATGCTTGTTTGTTTGTTTGTTTGAACAAATGCTAAGTCAAGTAAACTTTCTAAATGATGCATGGACAATTCACAAGGTAATATGGGGCTGATGGGAGATGTTATTCTGTATATGTTTCTCATACTGATTAATGAATAAAGCACTGTTGGCCAATAGGAAGGGAAGATAGGAAGGACTAGGAGACAAGGAGGAAAGAGGAAGTAGTAAGGAGGAGTCAGGATGGAGAGCCTGGAGAGAACAGAACTGCCATTCCTCCACTCTCGGTAAGACCACGTGGAAATACATAGAAATGGGTTAATAATTAAGACAGAGCTAGCCGATAAGAAACTAGCACCTGGCCAATAGCATTGTATCAAATACAGAGTCTCTGTGCATTATTTGTGGCTGGCGCGGCGGCGGGACCAGACTCGGCGGCAGGCGGAAAAAAACGTACTCTTTACATGGGGCTTCACCTATATGACTGTGCTTTAAAAAAAAAAAAAAAACAGTGCCAGGCTTCTGTAGATTCATGCAAACATCAAAGGTGAAGCCTAGATTCACAGCACTCGTAGATGACCTTGAGGAGCAGAGAGGACAGTGCTGATGTAAGGGAAGGAGGGAAGGAAGGACTGAGAAGAAGAAGGAGACAACCAGGAAAAAGACAATTTCATGTTTTACAAGTCATATGTGTACTTATCTAAAATAGGTACCAAGTGCATTTATGTATAAAGGGATTACATTTTAGATATTTCCTCTGATGGGAAACAGAAGACTGTAGTCACTTGAAGGAAGCTCTTGACTAAACATGCAGGAAAACTTCTTAGCCATTCAGGGACTGTATCATGAACAGTTTGGGGCTGCAGTAGAACAAGCTTGTCAACTCAGCCCTTGAGAGTTTGATGAAAGAGGATCAGAAGTTCAAGGCCAACCTCTACTATATTCTATCACCAACCCTGTCTCTAAAATTAAAAATAAGAAACTCAAAGGAAGCAAGGCA